GGTTTCACCATGTTGACCAGGATGGTCTTGATCTCTTGACCTTGTGATCCACCCGCCTCAGCCTCACAAAGTGCTGGGATTACAGGCTTGAGCCACCGCGCCCGGCCGGTTTTTGTTTTTTTTTAAAGACCCAATGTATTAACAATGTATTAATATCTACAACAATGTAGAATCTAATTAGAAGTATGAACTTATATATTTCCTGAAATAATTGTGCTGAACTGGTATGATCAACCTACTTCAGGGAATAATACTCCAAAAGCTACATAATGGGAAATAAGTATAGGTATTATAGCAATTATCATTGCAACAAAGTTATGATTGATTAGATTTAATACCACTTAATTTAGATCTTTTTAGGTAAATGAAAAGTATTAATACAAATATAAAAAACTTTACAACTAACTGAAAAGAAATGTGTCCTTAAATTGCTGTATTGTAGACAATTTAAGCTGGTACCATACAAAGTATTGCCTTTTCCTGGAATTATTTATCAGTTTGCAATGAGATGCTGAGCCCCAGCCAGAATGTAAATCAACAGACTCCTTTCTTCATCAAGAAAAGTGTTGCTATGAAAGAAAAAACATCAGCTGAACTAAGCAGTACGCTTAGGTAATTCATGCTTGATTTACACTGTGGTACAAGTGCTTTATCTCATTGTGGACTGGAAAACAATTTGCAGACTGACCAGTTGAGCAGAAATGGGTCAAGGCAACTATCCATTTGACATTTATTTATTTTTTTAGACAGATTCTCACTCTGTTGCCCAGGCTGGAGTGCAATGGCGCAATCTTGGCTCACTGCAACCTCCACCTCCTGGGTTCAAGCAATTCTTCTGCCTGAGCGTCCCAAGTATAGTTGGGATTACAGGCACCCACCACCACGGCTGACTAATTTTTCTATTTTTAGTAGAGACAGGGTTTCACCATGTTGTCCAAGCTGGTCTCGAACTCCTGACTTCAGGTGATCCACCTGCCTCAGCCTCCCAAAGTGCTGGGATTACACATGTGAGCTACTGCGTCCAGCCCACATGACATTTTAAAACATTATATTCCATTTCCTCAGGAAAAACAATAAATTTGAAAAGGCTCACTAAATTGTAATTACATACCCAATCAACAGTGCAGAAATTAACAGCCTCAGCGAAATTAAAACCCTGGTTAAAACCACTGTGGTAGGCTCTTGGAAATGTAATCACAAACTCTCCCGCACACTGATTAGTTCGGTAAACCTAAAGAGACAGAAATTGAAGATTTTTTGAATTTCTCAAAGAGTGACATTGTTACTAAAGACAATCTGGACATAGACTATTAGATAGTTTTCCAAAAAAGGCAGCTTTCTGAAATTGAGCCACAAAAAACAAATTACTGTAGAATATCACCTAGAGACACTAATTTCTGTCACAAGATGGAGCAGTATCCCAGACTATCAAAGTTAATTAGTATCTGAATACAAAACAAAACTTTGGCCATATCAAGGTACAAGGTACAACTTTTTTTTTCTTTAATATATATTTTATTGCATTTTAGTTTTGGGGTACATGTGAAGAACATGCAAGATTGTTGCATAGGTACATGCATGGCAGTGTGGTTTGCTGCCTTCCTTCCCATCACCTATAGCTGGCATTTCTCCTCATGTTATCCCTCCCCAGCTCCCTACCCCACACTGTCCCTCCCC